GAAGACCATGTGAATCCTCATGTTCTGTTGTTTGCTGCTTTTTGCGCATGTAAAATTAATCCCCGGGAAACAAATGCTAGTATTTTTTAACGGGTCACAGACACTTATCCTTTCTAATTTAATTCAATTCTAATTTAAAATAATCTTGTCGGTTAACGGTTAACAATCAGTTAACAAGCGTCGGTTGTCGGTTAGGAAAAATAACCGAAATGAACATCCCTAGTTCGGTCACTATAAATGGTTTAACGAAAGACAACAGACTAATCACAGTTCATTATGATGACATCAGTACTGTCAATTGCATTTTAAAAGCTGAAAATTCTGTAAATGTAAGTTAATGTATTATGTTTACAAAATGAGTGATGTTTCTTCTTTCTCCCTCCTTCAGCGTCAGTCGTTGTCTCTGCTGGTGCGGATGGTGGGAACCGATCGTGCTCGCTACCTGAAGCAGATCGAGGAGACCTTCTCACCAGGCGACCTTGCAGAAAAGAGAGAGGAAATGGAGGTTTCCATGCAACAGGTGTTACCATCTTAAGTTTGACTGCTCAAAATCTGGAGACAGGCAGTGATTTTTGGCAGCTACTGTCAACTGCAAATCAGTGCACAAATTAGGCTTGCCGCGATAGACGGTGCTGACGGTGATACCGGTGTTAAGCCGCAACACCGGTTACGTCACTTGAACGCCCCGCCCCCACGGTGATTACCGGTGTTGTCACACGTCGATTAACCGGTGGGAAAATTTCCTCACCGTCACAACCCTAGCACAAATCTGAGCAGAAGATGAGTAGTGTATTCCAGCCTTGTTTCACTGATACATGTATCATGTGATTTCTCAGATTTGTGCCAATATAATGGAGTACTGCCAGACGCTACTGCTGCAGAGCTCAGCCGAAGCCCAGTTCTCTCTCTGCCTGTTCAGCCCGTCAGCAAGTGAACCAGCAGGTCAGTCTTTGTGTTTGTCTAACGCCTGTTTGTGTTGAGAAAACACTGTCTGGCTTCTGTAACCTAACTGCTTTTTTTTTTCTCTCTCTACGTGATCATGTTGTAACAGATGTGGCCGTTCCCTCTGCACGGGTGCCCAGTCTGGGATTGGTTCTGCTCCTGCTGAAGAACAGCGCCACTGACTTCTTCCGATATCATGACAGCCACAGACAGAGCCTGAACAAGCTGGAGCGAGTGGAGCAGCTTCCCCCTGAGGAACTGAAGGAGGTATATCTGCAAAGACAGACGCTGATGTAGTAGTGCCTAAAATTTGCTTGTTTGATTCAAATGTTCAAATTTAGGATGTTTAATATGTCTGTTTGTGTGCAAAGCTGTGCCAGGGTCTGGTGTCTGGTTCTGGTGGAGTGGAAAAGATCTCATCAGTGCAGAGAAACGTGCTTGCCAAGCGCCGACTCATCCTGCTGGTCAACAATCGAGCCAAACTTCTTGCCCTCTGCTCCTGTATCCTAACACAAAGACTGCCTGAGAAATCAAGAGATGATCCAGTTTGCTTTTCAAAATAACTTTTGACTTTATTCTGTTTCCTTTTTTGACAATTGCAATCTGACACTTGGAATGTTGGAAACAGTTGCATGTTTTTTCTTGACATTTCTCTGAAGATATCATCGAGACATGCCTGTTTGTGATTTGGCGCCATCTAGAGTTCTACTTGCTGTACTGCACTCCCACTGACCCCAAAGACTCGCTTCTGCCAGGTTACAGAGGTCAGCTGTCTTTCGATCTAGTCTTCTTCAAAGCTCAGTCAGTTTTGGGTTGTTTTTAACTGCATGAGAGACTCATTTGTTGCTTTCTGTGTAGATCCTAGTGGCAGCAGAGGTTTAAGTGTGTCAAGAGTGAGCCAGCAGGATCTTGAACAGGTACATTTCTCTTTTCTTTTTAGCTTTGCTTCATGTTCTTTTCCCCCCATGTTTCCTTTTTATATTGCTAAGCATTTGGGGTCTTTTTCTTTCTTTCTTTTTTTAAAGAAATTAATACTTTTATTCAGCAAGAATGCATTAAATTAATCAAATGTGACAGTAAAGACATTTATAATGGTACAGAAGATTTCCAATTCATAAATGCTGTTCTTTTGAATGTTGTGTTTATCAAAAAATCCTGAAAAAATGTATCATGGTTCCCACACAAAAAAAATAAAATAAAAAAAATCAGCAGCACATGAGAACACCATATAATGAGATTGATATATTAGAATGATTTCTGAAGGATTGTGTGACACTGAAGACTGGAGTAATGATGTTGAAAATTCAGTTCTCAGGAATAAATTACAAGAGACTTCTTTCAAAATTATCAAAAAAATCTTGTTTTTGACACTTCTCTGTGTGTAGTTGCAGAGTGACGTGGCGAACAGCTTCAATGAGCCATTACAGAGGAAGCTGCTGGAGGTAGAGGGTCTGTATAGCAAAACCTGCTCCCGTCACACCTTCATCCAGGCCCTGACGCGCAGGATCCGAGGCCTAGTGCATCACGCCAAAGGCTAAACCCTCACATACATGTATATTACCTCAAAATAGTGCAAAACATTACTCTTTTGTATTAGGAAGCAAATAATTGCTTTTTGCAGTTTTGATTACTATCAATCAACACATTACATTTTCTTGCTCTGAAGATCTCTTTATTGGAAAGCTTTTTTCTAATGTCGTAAATAAATGGTTTTCTAAACAGACAGTGAATTTTATTTTTTTTTATGAATCAGGATGCTAAGTACAGTCGCTTGAGCAAATAAAGCAGTTTTTGTTTCTGTTGATTTGCATAGTCAAGAGCAGAGGCACAAATCCATTGCAGAATAATCTTGTTTTATTTTACAAGGTACACTTTATAGAAGGCAGTAAAGTGCGTTATCTTCAGTTTCATTTGTACGTATAAAACAGGTTCTGTCTCGGTTTTGAGAGCTGATGTAGCTTTACTGTGCAAGAGATTCTGGGAGAGAGATAACTAGCAGACTACATTCAGATTGCATGGTAAGGGTTCTTTTGAATGGCAACAATGAGCATACATCCATTTTTTAATACAGAAACTCACGTTCAATATACCAACCTAGTTGCTTCCATAGTTTGCATGTAAAAATGTGTAACTACATTTATAAAAGTCATAGGCACGTCCCATTCTGAAAATATGGACTGTGGAATCAACAACTGGTTGACAAGGACAATAATATGACAATTCTTAGCTGTGATACGTTTCAAGGTCAAGTAGCTTTTAAATTGTTTATTGTTACCACACGGCAGAGTTTACCAGAAACATCAATCCAAATAGTGGTTTCTTTTCTTTTTAAATAAAAGTCAAGCCAAATGAATTCCCATTCACGAGTTCACACTTACATATAATGAACAGAGTAAAGGTTATGCGTATTTGGCGTGCTGTCTGGGGAGAGGGCTCCGTGCTCGGTAATTACTCTCGAGCCCGGGGTACTCCCCCTGTCCAGGGAGAGGGCTCCGAGCTCGGTAATTACTCTCGAGCCCGGGGTATTCCCCCTGTCCGGGGAGAGGGGTCCGAGCTCGGGTCTAAGCCCGGACCCAGAGCGCTCAGAGGTAGGAACGGGTTGAAGGTGAGGAGTCGGGGTGGTGGAGGGATGCTGAAAGACTAGCGATAATGGAGGTAAGGCTGCTTTGATTATTTATAGAGGTTCTCTCTTGTGCTGATTGGATAGATGGTGTAATTACTGATGATGGACTGGCCGTGTTAATTATCTGCGCGTGCTCCTCCCGAAATTTGTTAATAAAACATCACTTAATGTTAGGAATATGCAGCTGTAGACTGCAGATGTAAGTCTGAAAGAAATAAATGAACATGCTTATTTCTTAAATACAAGGGGATGAATAAATGGTCCAATCTACACTGAGAGACTGAAAATGTAATTTTGTGCTATGTAAAATCATGCATTTCTGCTATAAATTATTTTTAAATAATAAAATGATAATTACAATATTTAAAGAATATATACACATGTCCCTGCTCCAGTGGGCCTTCTGAGTGATTGTGCTGCCCACAGTAGATATACAGAACAAAACCACCTCCATTGGTCAACTGACTGCCTACGAATAAAGGTCCATTACAGAAACCATCACACAAATTTGATTTACAACCAGTTATTCCACTAAATACTGGATCTATTACCACGATTAGAGAGCTGATAAATCACACACTGTCCATCGCTGATAATTCAATGGAAGTCTGGGGGTTGACTGCTGAGCTACTGACACCAAAGTCACAATTTTGTTCATGTTTGATTTGAATGTGCTTTTAAATGAGGAAAAGTGAAACAGCTTATAGTGAGTGAAACATCATTCACATGGTCTCGACTGCTGTTGTTCTGTTTCGGGAACTAATCCGAGGTACAGCAGACTTTTAAATCTTTCAAAAGATTGATATCGGATGTGTTGAGGCACTGCAAACCAGAAGGTGGCGTTGAAGCTCACTTGATTACATCCCATATAAGAGACATGTTCCTAGATCTGCATCCTTGTTGGTCCTGGACTGCCGCTAGTGGTTAGAATTGGTTAATACTGTCCTAGGGGGGTTGCAACGGTATGATATTTTGGCGTCAAGGTATACGGTATTTGAATATATTTTAGCTGCACATCAATTTTTCTTAAGGTAAAAATTCTTCAAACTAATGCTGTAAGCTAAACATGGAAACCCTCTCATTGGAAACAATATTAAAGAGTAAAATTAAGGACAGAGACTAATTTAGTTGCTATAGGCTACTCACGCAAAACTAAATTGTATACAAACATTTAAATTGCACATAAGGTAGTTTTCATAAAAACATACATAAATTATTATTAACAGGTTAAGGTCCTTTCTTCTAGCTAACTATCAAAATTTCCTGAGGTAAATGTAATGTTCTCTCACATGATATTCACAAGTTGTTTCACTGACTTCTTTTCGCGGTTAAAACACCGGTTGGGCGATTAAATGAGAGCTAATACATTTCAAGTAACGTTCGTTTTTCTAAATCTTTCACCATGCCTTCTGATGTTCATTCATGTTTATTTCGTAGTAGTAAAGATGAAGCGATGATCGGGAACGCGCACTCCACGCTGCCGCATTAACTAACGTTACACATACAATGATCTGTCACACATTAAAGAGCGCCAAAACAGCATTTATTATTTGGGTTTCCTGATAAAACTGACAGAATTTGAAAGCTGAGACTTTGTTTCTTATCAGACATAAGTCATTGCGCTACAAGTTTGGTGAAGCTCTATTCAGCCTCACATCTCTTTCACGCTTCTGTATGTGTCACGCATGCGCAGCTGAGATTCAATCGTCAATTTTAATACCACGATATACCGCTGCAACTCAACCTAGGATCAACAACTGTGACAATACACCATGTCTGCTGGCCATAATGAAGGAGCTTCTATTGCATGCAGAGCATTTTGCATCTGAATGCAATTTATATTTGCAGTAAATTGCAATCTTGTCCTGCATATACAAATCTTTTTTTTTTTTTTACAATGGTGTCAACACATCTGGATTTTTGCCTCAATATACTATACATACAACATGTAAATGTTCTGAATTGTACAATTTTTACATTAGGCTTAAAACAGTGCTGCATCAGCTGTAGTATAGTGTGATGATGGAATAGCATGTCTGTTTCTCCATGTACTCTTCACATGTGCTCCGTCTGCATCCTTTGTGAACTTCAAATCTGTCAGGTAAGGATGAAGCTGATATCCATGTGCTTTAAAGCCCCGTATTCTGGATGTGTTCAAATCCAAATGGATCTTTAGGACAACTGGACCAGCAGAGATGGCGCAGCAAGCGGGAGCGTCGACACTTTTCTTACCGACAGCATTGCCACGTCAGTACTAAAATCTTCAACAAGAGTTTGCTCTCTTTGCTCAGACGCCGTTAGAGCTCGGCTCTTGGGTGATTTCCGTAGAATGGTTGTCTTCAGGCGGTTTTGGTACCTCTCCTGTCACCGCCATACGGATCACTTTGAGCCAGCGCTGTTTCAGTTCCTCGCTTTCTGCTGCAAAGCTGTGGACTGATTTAGACTGAGATAGTCTGAAGCTCACGGGAGGGTCGGTGGGTCTTGGGCTGTCCTCCACCAGGTAGCCGAGCAGAGGAATCGTGGACTGGGCCTTGACATCCTGTGAGGACAGTAAATCTTTGTTTAGTAAAGGGAAGTGCTGTGCAGGAACAGAAATAAGACAGTTCAGTGAGAAAAAAAGCGCACTGACCTGAGGTGCTCCGTACAAGTAGAGAACTAGAGCTTCCTTTTGAGGAATGACACACCAGACTTTCTGCCAGGGCTTGTTCTTCTCGCAGTACTGCAGGAAGCCACACATGATACTGTTGCCAGAGAACTGAGCAGCTTCAATCTGTGAGGAAGAAGAAGTGAAGTTTAGCACAGTAGTATAAATGCTTCAGCACTCCTGTATGAGATGACAGCGTGAATTTCATGAAGCCTGTCAAGCCTGTCTGGGTCATATTTCACTTCAACATGAAAATAAATTATTTTTCCAAAGAATCCTAAGGATATATGTTTATATGTATACAGTGGTGTGAAAAAGTGTTGGCCCCCTTCCTGATTTCTTATTTTTTTGCATGTTTGTCACACTTTAATGTTTCAGATCATCAAACAAATTTAAATATTAGTCAAAGATAACACAAGTAAACACAACATGCAGTTTTTAAATGAAGGTTTTTATTATTAAGGGAAAACAAAATCCAAAACTACATGGCATATATATATATATATATATATATGTGTGTGTGTATGTGTCCAGACATCCAGACACATTCCAGAAATGAGAAACGAGAATAATATGCTTAAATAAACATGGGGGAAAAAATGGTCCAAGTATTGCCCTAATGTATATTACATATAGTTAAATATTGTAAAGTATGTATGCATCATTCAAGTATTTGTTAAACTGCTTATTTCAATAATCAAATAACTAATCAAATAATATTGTAATGACAATCATCCTGTTAATGACAAATAACAATGACAGTGACAAAAAAAAAAAACTGAAAAGTAAAATATCTGGATTCAATAACAAGGCTTCATTTAATTTATGCAAAATGTAATTTACTATTTTTTATTGTAATTTTGATGTGAAATATGAATCTGACATTCACTGAAAGTGAGTAAAACAAAAAGAAAGCCAAAGAAAAGGGTAAGTTTCAGTTTTTCAGTAATTATGTTAAGTAAGAGCATTTCATCAAGAGTCAGTTTGCTTCCATGATGCACAGTGACAATTTAGAACAGGTAACAAGCAAAACTATTACTTCACAAATGTATTTTATATGTATTTGCATAATCAGCTTTGTTGCTTTGTTCTCTCTTCTAAAGTGTTACCAAACCAGAACATTAAAACATAAGGGTACCAGTGGTAACACTTTATAATAAGCCTTATTAATAATATTAAGCTAAACAGATCATTAATTCAAGTCAATTTGTTAGAAATGAAACTTGTGTTTGTATTTTCATACATATTCATGAATATACATCAACTGCTGATCTGTTAAGCAATACTGAATGTTTGTTAATGACTGGTTATTGCAAGTTATTATAAAGTGTTACCGACCGAGCTTACCGCTGACGAATTCACAACAGTTCGTGGACGTCGCATTTTCTTCCGTAACTGCATATATGTATATATATATATATATATATATAAAGGTTATATGATGTCCTGTTTTCTGACAGAACAGTGTGTGGTAATTGATACATTACAGAATGCAGTTCTAACCTCAGGATCTCACATGATCCTGAACTCACCTCTAGAATGCCCTTCTTCTTGCCCTCCCTCTCCTCACTGTCTATATGGCCTGTCAGGATGCAGAAACAGTCTTTGCACACCTTGTTCATCTTATTCCCCTCATATTCCAGAGTGGCTTTGTAGTCTGAACACTTCCAGCAGACCACCTGAATGAAACAGACATTTCAGCACACGAAAAGCGATTTAAAACGGTGAAAAAAACTAAACAAAATGTCTTTGGTTTGCTGCCGCTTACGTATCCACAGGCCCGACAGTGATGTCTCCTGCGTGTGATGGCATTAAACGACTCTTTGCACTTCATGCACATGGTCACCTCATTGTCTCGGATCCAGCGAGGGGCTCTTTTACCCAGCTCTGATATCTTAAGATCCTACACAGAAATATAGACATGATTATAGACAAATCTGGACTACTATGACTCTATACTTCTAAGAATATGTGCATTATATGCATACATAAGTACATATACACTATACATGACCTTCGGCCTTATACAATAAGACTGAAACATCTAATAACAGTAGCATTATCATTCATAGTACTTTTTTCTAGAATTG